GCCCTCTCCCCTCCCATGTGCCCCCCTTCACTCCCCCTGCCCCCCTCCCCGTGCCCTCTTCCCTCCCCGCAACCATGACCCTCTGCCAAGGCCTGTCCTGTCCAAGCTTCCCTCACTCCTGGGTGTTGTGTCTTTCTGAGGAATTTTCACTCACGCCTCCTGGGCCTTCTCCCTGCATGAGGGTGCAGGTGCCTTCACCACCCACCTTGCTCCAAATAACTCCAGCCGATGGGACCTGTCCCTCAGGGACTGCCCCCCTGACACTCCTCCCTGTAAGGGCCTCCTGGGCTTCTCTCCCACGAGCACCTTGTGGATACCGCATCTTTGTCGCGTGTGCGTTTGTGTGCGTGTGCGCATGCGCCCCGCCCGCTCCCGTGTGGTCTCCAGCACCACGCCTGGTGTGCAGCCCAGTGGAGGCTGTTGAACTGTGTGTGTGTGAGCAGCAGGTGACGGGGTTCAGGCTGTAAGTGCTTCACAGGAAGGAGGTTTGTCGTACAGAAGGGGACGCTCTGTGAGTCCGGGTAGAGCCGCGAGGCGGTGGCAGGAGTGGAGGCGGCCCTGGGGGACCGCAGGCCGCTGCCCCGCACCTCCGGAGGGGTGCTGGCCGAGAGAGCCCGTTGCGCGGGTGTGGCGGCCGGACACTGACAGGGCTCCCAGCGGGCGGCTCTGAGGCGCTCAGGCTTTGCCTCCCTTCCCACTCTTCCCTCCAGAGACACGCTGTGAGCAAGACGGGCCTTTCCCAACCACTGCGCCGCCGCCGCCCCGCCCCTCGCCACCCCCCTCGCCGGAGAGCCCCTCGGTGCACAAGTACAACGTGAGCGGCGCCAACGGGACCTGCCTGCTGGCCAGCATGGGGCTGCAGCTGAACGTCACCTACAGCAAGAGGGACAACACGGTAGGCTCGGGGCGCCGGGGCACGAGCACCGCCTCTCACGTCGTGACCCCAGTGGGCAGGTGGCGGGGCCTGTCCTGTGATCAGCTTCTTGGCGCGCACAGCAGGGCTGCCGTCCTCTGTCGGGCCCGTGCTGCTGGGCGCTCGCTCACAGGACGAGTTTATTGGCCCCACGAGAATGTTAAGTGGTGCTTAGGCTTTGGCCACCCCAGCCTGTGTGTTCAGGGTCGCGCTTCTCCTTTGCCCCTCCTGGTGACCGAGTCTGTGTGCTGTGGCAGGGAGGGTGCTTGTGGTGGGAGCAAAGTTTTCTTGTAAAAGTAGCAACCAGGAGGAGCAGGGAAGACCGTTCTGGAACCCAGAAATCTGCACAAGTATAAACTTTGGGTGTTTTCCTCCTGCTGGTTTTGGTTAAAATGATAGAAGCCTTGAAGTCGGTTTTTGTTTTTGTTTTCGTTTTTTTTTTTTTTACAAA